CAAGTGTCTGAGCATTCCCCTAAGCATCCTGTAATTTTGGGACGGCAGAACACAACTGCAGCAGGGTTCCACCTTCAGATCTTCCCATGAGTGAAGAGCAGCATGGATGGAGAGGGAGACGACACGTCAAAAGCATCCTGTACTCCAAATGAGCACTGAGCGTAGGGAGAAGAGAGCATGCTGCCAGCTGGTGAGTACAGCCAGCTCGCCTCTAAATCTGAAGGAACTCATTGATTCAGCACCATTAGTCATTTCTTACGCGCTTCACGCCTCAGTACATTTCACAGCACTTCTATACATTACAAAAAAATTCAAAGGTTAAAAAAACCACAAAGCAAAACAACCTTTCCCTTTATCCTGTTGATAAATAAAGATGATGTCCTTCCTTTTTTAGGATGGGACCTGTAACTTGGTGTATATATATTTGCTTTAGAAGCTTGGTGATACTAACACAATGGGCAGCAGCCACTGTTAATTCAAAGCATATGTCACAAAAGGAAACGTTACCTCTGTGACAGTTACATTTCTTCATAATTCTGTAAGCAGAGAGGAAGAGAATCCTGGTATACATCATAAATAGACTCCTGACTGAGCTCGTTGAAAATCTAACATTCAAAAGGTCAATTCCAGCAATTCTTTACAAAATTTTGCTATTAAACCTGGTGATCTTAATAATCAGAAGCAAGTTTCCTGTTGCCTCACCACAGAAAGGATTTACAAGGTTGAATCTTCCCATTTGCAACATACACGCAATTCCCTGGGAAGCTAAACAATTACCTGACAGAACAGACAAGTTCATATTAAAAAATAGATGCTGTTGCTGAATCAGAGTAATCTGATGTTAATGTTTTATTTTGATAAGGAGAGTCGGTTTGAAAAACCACAGGGATTACATTAAAACAAAAGATTTTTTTTTCCAGTTAGTACTGCTGCGGTGACTACGATGATTTACAGGTGTAAGCAAAGCAAGATTTACTGGGGGAGGGAACCTCTGTTACCAGACCAAGTGATGGGGTCAGTAAAGAAGAAACTTTGGGCACATAAAGCCCATTTATATGTTTCCTGAAAACACCGATGTGCTTTTATGTGCAAAAGCCCTTCTCTTCAGGTTTCTGTTCCAGATTTGAAGAAGAGTTTACACGACTACGGTATATCTAAGAAAAGGTATTATCTTTCCCTGCACACATCGCCTTGCTTCAACAAATGACCTATTCATTAGGAACGTGCTTTTCTATCTGCTCATAAGTGTTATGTGATGTTATGATCTTAATTCATACCCACTAAAGAATAATAGAGAGCACACCGAGTCCAAAGCCTACAGATAGAAAATATAAAACTGATTCACTCAGAATAAAGAAAAGGTGGAAGAAAACAGTTACTCCGCAAGGTCCAGCTCACGCGCTCGCAGAGGCTTCACAAAGATGAGCACATTCTGACACGGGCAGCGTGTCTGCCTTCTACGACTGCGACAGGCTGAAAAGCACAAAGGAAGCTAAAAATTAAAATAAAGACTATCGTTTCTAAGTCCATTGGACACCAACACCATCAGAGAGGAAAAAGTAACTGAATTTGACTATGCTTTTCCCTGCCTTGCTTTCCAGGCAAGTGCTGTCAAATACATAGTGTATGGAGATAAACAGATTGTAGATTAGCACTTCCAGCAGAAGCTGAGCATCTGCCCTTGAGAATGCAAGGTCATTACACAGTTTTAGCATCTCCAAAGTTCGGGTGGAGTGTTAAGCTTTCCGACTGCTGCCCACAATGGAGCCAAAGTTGTAAAGTGACTGCCGTTTGGTATCAGCAGAAAAACTTTCAAGAAATCCATTTACACCTCTGATGTGAAAGACTGACTGAATATATTTCAATGATTTTAGTGGAAAAGGAAGAAAAAAATTCTCAGCCTGACCTGAGACACTGATACAACATAAGAGCCTGAACAAGTCAGATATCTGCAAACACATTTCTTTTTACAGTAAAGATAATGAAACATGTCTTAATTAAGAGAGTTTAAATGCAGCTTTTTGTGTGCAAGAATGTGCATAAATGTACACTTTATCAGCAAGGATGTACTTAGACACCCATTTAATTGTTATTTGCCTTGTATAGATAAAGCTATTAAGAGGTTTTCTATATGTTTCATCCAGTATAGCATAGCTGTAGAGCAGATATTAAAAGATGTTCATTCTCCAAAAGAATATGTAGAATCAATACATGCAATTGGCTGCCAAACTGGACAGCAAAAGGAAGGAACATAATCAATTTGAAACTATGATAGCAAATCATTAAGAAAGAGATTATGCAAATAGTAAGAGGAAGGTGGGCACAGATCCAGAGGGACACATGGTAGAAGACGAGTAAGGATTATTGTAATGAGGCATGAAATACATGTGAACTTTCCTTCGTTTCCTTTACCCACAAATTTCCCATGCAATTTTTCTTCATTCTTACAGGTCACCAGTATGACACGCATGTGGCAATTACTAGTGAAAAAAAGCCTTAACCAAAGTTGCGTCAGATTTGTCTTAAGAAGTAGGGCTAGAAAGAAAAAGAAAACATTTCTAATCAACATTCCGAACAAATGTGTATTTTCTGAAATCAATTATCCACTCGTGCTTAATGCTACAGATGCTCTTGAATGCTTCATCGGAGCAGGACATAAAAGGAGCAAAAGTGTAAGTGGCGTTATGTTATAAACTGAATAAAGGTTAGTAAAAAGTTAACTGGGCAGCATTTGCATTACTACTGAGAGGGTAAGGTGCGAGAAAAATGGCTATGAACTCTGCATAATTTCATCAGAAGACAAGCATGAGTGAGAACTGAAACTCAATCTTTGTCTGTGTACAGCAGTATTTCTCACATGGTTGTACTTCAAGAGTCGCTGGCACTTTTTGGAAAAGAAACAGCAACCAAAAAAAATCCAGCCTGCCTCCCCTCCAAAAAACTATATCTCTATGTAGTTTTTCTGATTACAAATGAGAGATAGACTTCACTACCTCGAAACATTTATTTCTATTTCTCCTTAAGTCTTTTGCTTCCTTGTTTTTGTGCTTGGAATTGTGTTTTTAAAAAAAAAAAACACCCACAACACATATTTCTTTATTTTGTTTTTGACAAATTTGCAGACAACTTTATGATGTTTTACATTTCAAAGAGAACCTCTGCCTCTAGAAAAGTACTTCTAGGTCTGAATTAGGTACGTTTGTGAGCAGTAGACAGCTAGTACCAAAATTCTGACAGAATATAGATAAACAGATGTTCTCAAAAAATCTGGTACCACCACAAAGGGAAAAAAGTGGGCTCTCCTAAAGGTCAAAAAGCCATGTGCTTTTCAAGAACATGATAGAGATTGTAAAGACCATAACAGCACTCAAAGCCAACTCAGTCTATTCAAATGAAAGAGTACAAGTCTCCATCCTACCCTCACCCCTTGGTCTGGTCACAGCTCCATCATTCCATGTCACGACATGACACCTCTGTAAAACGTTGCTTATTAGCTGCCATACCACATTACGCATCCTCTTGAATGAGCTGATTTAAAGTATAGTCCTATGCCAAACTGCTTGGCAGTATTGTTTATTTTAGACATCAAAGAATGACT